ACCACCCATCTTGAGGAGTTTGCCCCCTCACATATACTAATGTGCCACAAACAGGACTTTAATATCATCAACCATTCCCATTTTATTACGGTGTATCCATATAAATGGCCCACCCTGTACATATTGGTATATACATATTATATATGGTATAATATGTATATATTCACCTGAGGTTGTATTTAAATCTTTGTAGAAACTAGTGAAGACTGGATGGTGGTTTGATTTTTTTGTTTTGTTTAACTGACAGTTACAATTAAAAGGGTCTCTACTGTTTTGGTTTGGTTTTTTTACCATGACTGCAGGGAGTTAGCTTGCTTATGATTAGCTTAAACCAGTCTGCGGAGTGAGTTTATTTACATTCTGATAAGGAATCTGATAACGAATTAAAAGCAAGGATGCTGTTTTCAACCTCTACAAAAATGCTAAAGTCGCCCAATATAAGTATATATCTGAATTGAACACTAAATCTAAAAGTCAAAGCTGAAGTTCATTTAAACTGATGCATTCCTCTTGCTTGTTTTTTTTGACAAATCATTATGTTGATCAGTTATCAAATCAGTTAATAAGAAACTCATAATAAGGAGACCACTATTTATTAATCTACATTTAATCTATTTAATTCTTTATTACTGCAACTAAGAATAAAATGATTAAGTGCAAATAAATTTACACCTGTTTCCAGGTTCACGAGCTGCACTATCCAAAAAGGGATCAGTGCTGTCTTTCTTGTTATTATCTGTGCTTCCCACTTGATTTGCTGGGAACCACCTAGCTACCCAGTGGGTGAAGGATGACCATGGCATGATATGTATAGCTGTTATGTGGTAGTTTAGGGGAATTTAGGAAAAATCTGTAAATATCACAAGTGGTATCTCAAGCCCAAAACTTGATGAACGGTTTACTGCACTGCTTTATATGCAATGTTAGTTCCTGCCCCACCACATGGCGTTAGCACTAACATATACTGCAAATATACTGGTTTTTGCCATTTGTATGGTTTATTCCTACTGAATATGTTTATCCTTCTTAGGTTGTCCAGCTTGTTCGAGATCCACGTGGCATCCTGGCATCTCGTATTGAGACCTTTCGGGATACTTACCGGCTGTGGCGTCTGTGGAGGGCAACTGGACGTCGACCCCACAACCTGGACCTAGGACAAATCAACACAGTGTGTGAAGATTTCCTTCGCTCTGTGTCTGTAGGCCTGGCAAGACCCACCTGGCTCAAAGGGAGGTACATGTTGCTGAGGTGAGAAGAGGATAATCATTTACACCAGGGGTATCTAACTCCAGGCCTTGAGGGCTGGTGTCCTGCAAGTATTAGATGTGTCCTTTATTCAACACAGCTGATTTAAATGGCTAAAATGCCTCCTCAACATGTCTTGAAGTTTTTCAGAAGCCTGGTAATAACCAAATCCTTTGATTCAGGTGTGTTGACCCAGGGTGATATCCTTCTTCTACCAAGAAGAGAAGAGAGGTGTTTATTTAAATTGGTTGGTTTCCTGGCACATACTAGGCT